AAACTGTTATTTCCAAGGATTCCATAGCATTGAGAGACTGTGGTTGAAATGGGTTGTTGTATGGGTTGTTTTTCGGGCTAAATGGTCAAGGTCATGTTCTAGAAGCATTCTCTCCTGACGTTTTGTCTGCATCTATGGCAAGCATCCTCAGAGGTTGTGAGGTCTGTGGTTGAAATGTTTTTGTTTTCTTTGTGGTAGGAGCAACTTGAGAAACTGCAAGTTGTTTCTGGTGTGAGAGAATTGGCTGTCTGCAAGGACGTTGCCCAAGGGCCGCCCGGATGTTTTACCATACTGTGGGAGGCTTCACTCACGTTTAATAATAATAATAATAATAATAATAATAATAATAATAATCTTTATTTATACTCAGCCACCATCTCCTCGATGGGGATTCGGAGCAGCTTACATGAGATCAAGCCTGAACAACATATTACATCAAAATAAAACCAAAACATAGACAACAAGCAACATCATCAAAATTATATGGTCTATATGTAGAGTTGGACACACAATAATAATAATAATAATAATAATAATAATAATAATAATCTATATAAATAAAAATGTAATGTTCGTTTGTGGGATTAACAGAACTCAGAAACCACTGGATGAATTGACACCAAATTTGACCACAAGACACCTACCAACCCAAGGAGTGACCATCACACAAAAATTGATTTAGTCATTTAGGAGTTGTAGTTGCTGGGAATTATAGTTCACCTACAATCAAAGAGCATTCTGAACCTCACCAACGATGAAATTGAACCAAACTTGGCACACAGCTCTCCCATGACCAACAGAAAATACTGGAAGGGTTTGGTGGGCAGTGTCCTTTGGTTTTGGAGTTGTAGTTCACCTACATCCAGAGAGCACTATGGACTCAAACAATGATGGATCTGGACCAAACTCAATATGCCCAAATGGGAACACTGGTGGAGTTTGGGGAAAATAGAATCTTGACATTAGGGAGTTGTAGTTGCTATGATTTGTAGTTCACCTACAATCAAAGAGCATTCTGAACCCCACCAACCATAGAATTGGGCCAAACCTCCCACACAGAACCCCCACGACCACCAGAGTGGGCCACAGCAACGCGTGGCAGGGGTCAGCTAATATATATATATATACACACACACACACACATACATACACACACACATACATATACATACATACACAATAACAAAATAACATTACAATAAACAAAAACACAATTGCAGTAACAGTTTGCGGGCCACATGTACAGGATAAAATGTTTAAAACTCTAATGAGATAAAAATAGGAGCAAATTATTTGCAGGGAGCTCATAAAGACACACAGGGTTGTGAAACTAAACTTCCCATTCATTTGCGGGGGGGGGGGGGGGGGGGGGGGGGGGCGTGTATTCCAGTGACAGAAGCATTGAGGGGAGCAATAGTGTCGCGTTGTGCACCTACTCGCCAAAGGCTCAGCGGAAGATCCGGGTTTTAAGGTCCTTTTTAAATGTTTCTAGATCCAGGTTGAGAAACACTGCTCTGTAGCTTCTTTGAAGGATTTAGGGAGTTGTAGTCCAAAACCACTTGTAGTGTATCTCCTTTTTGAGAATTGTGTATTGGATATCATTCTGGTTTTGTTTCAAAATGCATCTAGGTCCCATTTTGGGATAACGTCAGGATACAAATCAAGTGAGTAGAAATAATAATAATAATAATAATAATAATAATAATAATAATAATAATAATCCTTTATTTATATCCCGCTAACATCTCCCGAAGGAGCCCCCGGTGGCGCAGTGGGTTAAAGCACTGAGCTGCTGAGCTTGTTGATCGAAAGGTCGCAGGTTTGATTCTGGGGAGCGGAGTGAGCTTCCGCTGTCAGCCCTAGCTTCTGCCAACCTAGCAGTTCGAAAACATGCAAATGTGAGTAGATCAATAGGTACTGCTCCGGCGGGAAGGTAACGGCGCTCTATGCAGTCATGCCGGCCACATGACCTTGGAGGTGTCTAGGGACAACGCTGGCTCTTCGGCTTAGAAATGGAGATGAGCACCACACCCCAGAGTCAGACATGACTGGACTTAATGTCAGGGGACTACCTTTACCTTTAACATCTCCCGAAGGACTCGGTGTGGCTTACAAGAGGCCAAGGCCTAACACATCAGAAAACAACAGCATAACAAATGCAACAATAAATAAACTCAGAAAAGCAAAACAATAATCATTAAAACAATAACAGTACACATTAGACAATAACACCACGACACATTTAAAACGAAGGCCGGGCCAAATGTAATGATTAAAAATTTTAAAATGCTGGGCATGACCAGGTGAAATGAATACGTTTTTGGAGATAGGTGCGGTATGTAGACAATCTTAAATCTCTAGTAAATTGCATTCGGTACATGATGCTTGGAGTTTCTGGAGCTCTAAGTTGGTGTCTATTTTGTGGCTTCCTTTGTGTTGCTTCTGATAAGCCTTTCGCCCAAGGAAAGCAGGCGGATCGCATTGTGCAATGCTTTCGGTTTCTGAGATTTCATCATGCAGAGCCTGCGTGCTTTTCGGCATACGCTTGCAAGGCTCAAGGCCTGGAGCAAAGCCTAGCAAAAGGGCTTCATATCCCCCAGCATTTCACAGGGGTGCACCTACACTCTAGGCTTAATGCACTTTGACACCACTTGAACTGCCATTGGCTCAATGCTGTGGATCCTAGGAGTTGTTGTTTTTGCAAGGTCTTTAGCCTACTCTACCAAAAAATGCTGGTGCCTTGCCGAACTACAACTCCCACGATCCCTTAGCATTGAGTCCTGGCTGTGGGTCATTCAAAGTGAAGTTCCTAGGCCCAGGGGCGAAGGACAAGACACTAAGGACCAGGGTGACGAATGACGCACGGAGAGGGAGATGACTGTATAGGAAGGATGCAAATAAGAAGGGAAAGTACGTGGAAGGAAGATCGAGAGAGAAGTACCGGGAGGAATGGAGGGTCGGAGAAGGTGAATAGGGAAGGATCAGGAGTTAAGATTTAAGGATCTTAGTCATATTGCAGTTGACCATAATGTTTAGTATTAACATATATTAACGTATCGGCTATAGGAAGAACGGAAGTGAAGAACGGAAGAATCAGGAGGGAAATAGATGTAGTGAGAGGATAAATGAGTAGGGAGAGGGGAATAGAGAAGGATAAGAAGATGAGAATGAGGAAGAAGGAGGAAAGAGGTGAGGGGTAAGAGGGCGGAAGGGAAGCTGAGTAAAATGATTTAAAAATAGTAGGATATTAATAATGCGTTTGATTTAAAATAAGATATATGTATTATATCTGAAAAAATGTATTTAAGAGTAGAAGAGATAATGTGAGAAGAGGAAGAGGAGAATGAAGTCGACAGATGAAGTAAAGGAATGATAGAAAAAGAGAGATGAGCGTGAGGAGAAAATAGGGTATCAGTGACATTCTACATGACTAAATCACCACTCATGCTATTCCTATTATTACAATTAAAGACGTGTAAGATGAAGAAAGTTGTCTTATGTAGTTACGACGAATGAGTAAGAGTGAGAGGAAGAGGGGGATAAGGAGGAGAAGACGGGACAGGAGAGGCAATAAGAGAAGCGAGGGCGGTGAGGAGAGGAAGATAAGGAGACAGCGACATCGCAAGGAGAGGGCGATGGCGCGGGAGAAGCAGGGAAAGTAATAATAGTATAATACGCATATGATGATGTCTAGGTGTAATAGGAGGTGAAAGGGGGATTGCTAATGAGGAGGAAGGAACAATTTAGTCGAGTTAAGAAGAATCTGTAGGCAAAGAAAAGATCCCAAACTTATTATACTTGTATGAGGTGATATTTTAAGTTTTACTACTACGTTTATTTGATATCTTCTTCTTTTCGTGCCAACTCCTTTCGCTTAGTCGCGCCTGTCCTTATGATTAATCCTCCTCCTATTCCGAGATAATGTCTGCCCTTTAGGATCGTGAGAATTTTAATACCATCATCAGTCTTCTCATCTGCCTTCCTGGACTTGTAGGGAATGGAATAGTCATTTACCTTAGTCACCTGCATAACATAGTCTAAGGCAGAGCCAGCAGGTATCTTTTAAAACTCTAAGGCTTTCTATTGAACACTATCTAATTTGTTATACGTAATCTCTTACAGTATTACGACTACTCGGAATGAAAGGTCGAATAAGGTGAGGAATAAGATGAATAATTTACTTATGTTTATGACAAATTTGATAAATTCTAATAGTATTGATTAATCGTCTTATAATTATACATATTGTATAGTTAATAATACTTTTATGTTCAAATACTCGACTTTATCGTAAAGGTGTCATAAATACTATAATGACAGAAAGGGTGACATTAATATTATAATAAACAAAAATTAATTATAATTCTTTTACTATGATTTTAGTATTCATAATAACTATTGGAGTCTATTAATATTCATCCTTCTGTACTACAATATTTTTATGAATTACTTAGTCTTCTCCCTCTTCATCACATGTGTACGTGTCCTCGCCACTCCTTCTCTTCTTCTCCGTGTCCATCTTCCTCTGATGCGCGTTAAGAAATGCTCCTCTTACTACCCGCCTAGCAGATGTCATCCTAAATATGTACGTATGTATTGCCTCACTCAGTAGTAAGAATGTTCCCTTCTAGTCCTCCGCATCTCCTCTCTTCTTCCTCTTCATATCTTTCTCCTTCTTCCTTTCATTGTCAATCCGTAATTATCCTTCTCCTCTTCCTCCTCCTCCTCCTCCTTCTTTTTGGGCTGTTCTTTCTTCTCCATGGGATGACAGCTTGCCTCCCTCCCTCCTTGTCCCCACCAGCCGCCCACTTCCCATCCCACTTTCTTGCAAGGAGCGACCCACCCCCAAGCTGTCTCATCCTCATTCAGCATTACACACACATGATGGTCTAATATCTCCAGCCCGGCTGCTGCTTCTGGCAGAGGAGAACAAAACAAGCTCTTCTTGATGGAAGCTGTCAAGGAGCTCATGTTTCCTACCGGCTTTTGATTTCTTTTAGCATTGCCCGGAGCCCAAGACAGAAGCTGACTGTGTTGCCAACATCAAGGCCTTTCTGAGCGGGTGCGCAGCGCTGAAAGTGGAGGTAAGTCCCATCCGATCAACACTCTCTATACCAAGTCAGATCCTCTACAACAGTGGTTCTCAACCTGGGGGTCGAGACTCCTCGGGGGGTCGTGAGGAGGTGTCAGAGGGGTCACCAAAGACCATCAGAAAACAGTATTCTCTGGGGGTCTCTGTGTGGGAAATTAGGTGCAATTCTATCATTGCTAGGGTTCAGAATTATCTTAATTGTAGGTGAACTATAAATCCCAGCAACTACAACTCCCAAATGTCAAGGTCTATTTTCCCCAAACTCCACTAGTGTTCATATTTGGGCATATTGAGTATCCGTGCCAAGTTTGGTCCAGATCCATCATTGTTTGAGTCTAAAGTGCTCTTTGGATGTAGGTGAACTACAACTCCCAAACTCAAGGTCAACACCTTCCAAAAGCTTCCCATATTTTCTGTTGGCCATGAGAGTTCTGTGTTCCAATTTGGTTCAACTCCATCATTGGTGGAGTTCTGAATGCACTTTGTTTGTGTGTGAACTATGAATCCCAGCAATTATAATTTATTTTTATATTTTATATTTTATATTTTATATTTTATATTTTATATTTTATATTTTATATTTTATATTTTATATTTTATATTTTATATTTTATATTTTATATTTTATATTTTATATTTTATATTTTATATTTTTTATATTTTATATTTTATATTATATATATATATATATATATATATATATATATATATAGTAGGTAAAGGTAGTCCCCTGACATTAAGTCCAGTCATGTCTGACTCTGGGGTGTGGTACTCATCTCCATTTCTAAGCCAAAGAGCCAGCGTTGTCCGTAGACACCTCCAAGGTCATGTGGCCGGCATGACTGCATAGAGTGCCGTTACCTTCCCGCCGGAGCAGTACCTATTGATCTACTCACATTTGCATGTTTTCGAACAGCTAGGTTGGCAGAAGCTAGGGCTGACAGTGGAAGCTCACTCCGCTCCCCGGAATCGAACCTGCGACCTTTCGATCAACAAGCTCAGCAGCTCAGCGCTTTAACCCACTGCGCCACTGGGGGCTCCATTTATATATATAATTTATATATATTATTATTATATCGTTGTGGGTGAACTATAAATCCCAACAACTACAACTTCCAAATGGCCAGGTCTATTTTCCTCAAACTCCACCAGTATTCACATTTGGGCATATTGAGTATCCATGCCAAATTTGGTCCAGATCCATCATTGTCAGTCCACAGTGCTCTCTGGATGGAGGGGAACTACAACTCCCAAACTCTAAATCAATGTCCACAAACCCTTCCAGTATTTTCTGTCGGCCATGGGAGTGCTGTGTGCCAAGTTTGGTTCAATTTCATCGTTGGTGGAGATTCAGAATGCTCTTAGATTGTAGGTGAACTATAAATCCCAATAACTACAACTCCCAAATGACAAAACCACCCCCACCCAACCCCACCAGCATTCAGATTTGATCTACTGGTGGGGTTGGGTGGGAGTGATTTTGTCATACAGGCTACCAGCTGTTAGGAATTGTGGAAGTCCAAAACACCCAGAGGGCCCAAGTTTGTCCATGCCTGAACTACACTTACCATATAATGCAGGTCCAAAACAAATGATATGGCAGTGTAGATCCAGGTTCAGTGTAGCTTAGGTTGAGATTCTTTAAGAGGCAATCCTAAGACTTCCATGCTCTTCCACCAATGTTATGATCTAGTCCTGACGTCCTATAAAGCTGCCTAAGGATGCATCTACACCAGGGCTCCTCAAACTAAGGCCCGAGGGCCGGATACGGCCCTCCAAGGTCATTTACCCAGCCCTCGCTCGGGGTCAACCTAAGTCTGAAACAACTTGAAAGCACACAACAACAACAACAATCCTATCTCATCAACCAAAAGCAGGCCCACACTTTCCATTGAAATACTAATAAGTTTATATTTGTTAAAACTGTTCTTAATTTAAATTATTGTATTGTTTTTAAATGTTTTTTGCACTATAAATAAGATATGTGCAGTGTACATAGTGTATATTCTTGTTTTTTTCTAATTATAATCTGGCCTGTCCTGGTACGGCTGTACCAGGAGCTCCAACTTCTTTTCCTTTCTAGTGAGTGTTTGCATGTATTCCAAAATTCCATGCATTTTGCAATAAGGTGGCTTCCCTTGGTTTGCATTCATAGGGCCAATGACCCATCAATTGTCATTATGTTCTTTAGTTCCACCCCTTTTTCTGGGTTAAGGAGGGAAAAAGGGGACCTCTAGTTCAGTTCACACAGAGAAGCCTTTCGTAAAGGACGTGAATCAGTTCCACCTGTAGAAAGCTTCGTCTTTTACAGCTTTGCTGGAGGGATCCAATCCCACGGCTCTACAGAGAACTACAACATAGCCTTTGTTGGGGAATGTAGTTCCACAACTCTACATCCAGCTCTTTGCTGGGGAAATACAGCTCCATGGTTTTACAGCCAGCCTTCGCTGGGAATTGAAAGCCTTCTTTCCTCTTGGAAATCTACTAAAGGACTTTGTTTGGTAGGGACCACTCGCAGCAGCCATAACGCAAATTGGAACCGGGTGTAGGGGCCCACGCCAGCAGAGCTTAAGTCAGATTGCCCAGGGAGAGGTGAAGGATTTCCCTTGTAGAAGGAAGACACGGTTTATGAAGAAATTTGCCTGTTCCTTGTGGACAAGATTTAAGCATGCCCCCAGTTGATTCAAAGCCTTGAAGTATTTGTTTGATTTATTGAAGATTTAAGCAACAATAACAACTTTGTTGAACTTTCTAAGTCTTTAAAAGAACTTTGTGTGGGGAAATCCGAAAGGCCTCTCAGCCGAGGCACCCCTGGCATCCCGTTGGGCATTCAGAAAACACGTTTTGTCTACAGACTCTTTCACAGGCCCAGCGCGTGACAGCACACGGCCCACCAACAGTTTGAGGGACTATGACCTGGCCCTCTGTTTAAAAAGTTTAAAAAGTTTGTGGATCCCGATCTACACTATAGAATGAATGCAATTGGACATCACTTTAACCACTATGGAATCTTAGGTGCTCTAATTTTGCGACGTCTTTAGTCTTCTCTTCCAAAGAGTGTAGGCATCTCACTATAAATCTCAGGATTCCAGAGCATTGAACTATGATAGTTAAAGTGGTGTCGAACTACATCGATTCTACAGTTTAGATGCAACCTAAAAGTCTAGTTCAGGATGGGATTTCTTAAGACAGTCTTTCTCAGCCTGAGGGTCAGGACCCCTGGGGGGGTCACCAGGGGGTTTCAGAGGGGTCGCCAAAAACCATCAGAAAACATATATCTGATGGTCTTAGGAAACTAAGATAGGATCCAATCACACCCTTGACCTTCCATAAAGCATTGACACCAAAGTCCTGGTGCCTTTCCAAGATTTCAAGCAAAGAGGTTTTTCCAAGTCGTGGTCTCATAGGAAATGCTTGCAGCTTGACTACTGCAATGTATTTTTGTTTACAGGCGGCCCTTGGAGACATCGTGAAAGGGTTCAGTAGGTTGAGAAATGTTGAAAGGGACGGCAGTGGAGCCATCTAACAGGAAAAGGCCTTCATTGGGTTCCTTTACAGAGCCTAATCCATGAGATCAGTACAAACCACGGTCTCATGGACCCACATCTGACAAAATATGCCCTCACTAGGCATTTACTTGGTCCTCCACAGGGGCGGCTCAACCATTATGCAAAGTAAGCATTTGCGGTATAGTTGATTTTGCCCAGGGGCGCTCTTGAGGTGCTCTTGGGGGAAAATAGACCTTGACATATGCAAGTTGTAGTTACTGGGATGTATAGTTCACCTACAATCAAAGAGCACTCTGAACTCCACCAATGATGGAATTGAACCAAATATGGCACACAGAACTCCCATGACAAACAGAAAATATATATCAATGATTGGTTGGGGGGGTGGGGGGTGCGCCAAAATACTGTTTGCTTACCGTTGAAAATTACCTATGGCCGCCTCTGGTCCTCCTGCATGAATTTTTGGGCCAGAGGGGCTTCATTTCAATATGATTCACTATCGTCCACAATTGTGCATCTCCCCGCCAAATCTGGTAACCTATCGCCTCTGGATACAGGACTCTCGTAGTTTATTGAAGGGCATTCCAGATAATGGTGAAACGAAGGTTTGCAGACATATAGACAAGATGTCGGGGCTGTTGATTGGCAAGGTCAGATCTCTTTTTCGAGGCCTCTCTCGTTCGAAACATCCTATATGCCCCTTAGGATATCTGTTCAGAGACTGTAAGACAGTCCTGAGTGACATTGATGGACATGGCATTTTGCAGAGTTACGTAAGCCCCAAAACAAACATTTCCTTGCCCCAAGGTCCTCTGGCTCTGCATTTCGACAGAAGGAGAGAGCGAAAACAAAGGTAGCTGGCAGGGCATGAGAAGCGAGTAAATGCAGTGAACAATAATCAATTGATTAATTAATTAATTAATTAATCCCACTCTCTGACCAGAAGCTCCCTGAACTGGAGACAGCACCACTCCATCATCATTGCCATCATATTTATTTATCATGTCAAGAGCAACCAGATTGTTGTATTACATTTTTAACAAAACAAACAAACAAACAGACAGACAAAACACAAAGTTTGCAAGCTTGGTAGTTGATTAAATGTCCTTTGACCAGTATCTGGCCACTTGGAGTGCTTCTGGTGTTGCCGCAAGAAGGTCCTCCATTGTGCATGTGGCAGGGCTCAGGGTGCATTGCAGCAGGTGGTCAGTGGTTTGCTCCTCTCCACATTCACATGTCGTGGATTCCACTTTGTGGCCCCATTTCTGAAGGTTGGCTCTGCATCTTGTGGCGAAGTCTGTTCAGCGCCTTCCAAGTCGCCCAGTTTTCTGTGTGCCCAGGGAGGAGTCTCTCATTTGGTAGCAGCCACTGATTGAGGTTCTGGGTTTGAGCCTGCCACTTTTGGACTCTCGCTTGCTGGGGTGTTCCAGCGAGTATCTCTGTAGATCTTAGAAAACTATTTCTTGATTTAAGTCGTTGACGT